AAAATACGTTACTATTTGGTTGCTGTAAGCCATTATGCGATAATGGCCCTCGAGTCAATAATGTCCTTCGGGCATGCGGCCCCTAGGTCATTATGCACATCTTCGGACCATTATCGCATAATGGCGAGCAGCATCCAAGTATGAACCTCTAAATAAATATTTCAAAATTAATTAATGGACGATGCAGCATGGAGAAATGACATAAACTTAGAGAACACCGACACCGATTTGTATAATTATACATTTATATACATGTGTGCAAATATCACCATCTTGTCCACAAATTGTATGTATTTATTATAGTTTCATCCATTTATGTTCACATGTATTTAACACATAAAGCTATTCAAGAGGAAATATCTAAAGGGAGACAACTCCAAAGCTGTAGATTCATCTCCCTTTCGTGACAGAGAGACTAATTACAAAGAAGTACAATCCTGCTGAGCAAAGAAGATAACAAACAAACATTTCAATTATATTTAATATATCACTGATTTGACATTTAACTAAAATCGACAGTATCCGTGTTATATATACTTGTAGTTAGATTCCAAGACTTTGGTTGCACATAATCGTTAGAATTCTCTATATAATTATTAAGCTCTACAGAATGTGATCGATCATTTTTCCGTCTGTTTGTGACGGTGTTCATTTTGAATATCGATTACTTTTAATTTTACATGTTTTACGCGGACAAACGATGAATAATGCTGCGATGATGAAAACACGATGGTACGTTGATGAAAACACGACAGAACGCTGACGAAAACGCGATGGGTATGATGTCACAATGAAGAATGACTATAGTGTGATGATAAGAACGCAAAAGTATGGAACGCCGGAATAAAAATGTAATCGTGATGGTACGATGATGAAAAGATAATGGAATAATGATGATTACACGATGGAAAGATGATTAAAACGTGATTGTATGGTGAAAGTTGAAGACAACGGAACGACGTTGGAACGGTGATGAAAACACGATCGGACAATAAAGAAATTATACACGGTGGAACGGTGATGAAACACAAACGTACGAGAATGCAAACACGATGGTACGATGGAAAATGAAGATATCCCGATGAAATGATGGCACAGTGATTAATACACGGAGATTCGACAATGTAAACACGATGAAACGACATGGTGTTTACACGATAGTACGAGTTTAAAAGCCACAAAAGTACGACAATGAAAACGCGATAGTACAATTAACCATACAATCTTCTTGATAACCAAGAACAACATTTCTCTAACTTACGATAAGCTTCGCAGGCTTTTTTTCTTAAATCAGCTGGTACAATAGTCACCGGAAGTTTGTGAGAGCAGTGACTCTCTTGCAAATAAACACTGATCAGTTAAAGGTCCATTAAGCCTCAGAAATGGTGATGTTTAAATTTGTCAAAATACACAATATTTTACAGTCATTTAAACATTGCCAGGCGTTCTGTCGTTTTAGTTTGATACACATTTTGTGTGGGCCTACGACTATTTGTTGAATTTTGGACAAGTGAAAGAGTGTGACAGACGGACGAAATATATTTAAACCTGCGACACATGACCGTAAAATGAAGCGCATTTTATTTCGACATTGTGTCGCAATATATATTTTTTTTCATCACTTTTTGTTATGGGTAATCGTTGGTCTATTTGATCATATAGTCGATATACATATATAGTCGATATACTGTAGCATATGTTCGCGCAATTAGAAGATATTAAAAACTTATCACAGTACCTGCACTGAATTTGTGTTTGTTTTTGATAAAAGTTCTTTCTATCCTTTATTATACTCTTTAAGAACAATGTGTCTGTAAAAGAATACTTAAAACTCTTTTTGCCTACTTCAAAACTGTTATTTGTAAACAATTTCGTTCTAATAACTTTGGTAGAAAGTGAGACAAAATAATTGAGCCACGTAACGACAGAACCAACATAATGGGTTTGCGACCAGCATGGATCCAGACCAGCCTGCGCATCCGCGCAGTCTGATCAGGATCCATGCTGTTCGCTTACAAACTCTATTACAAGTAGAGAAACTGATAGCGAACAGCATGGGTCCTGATCAGACTGCGCGGATGCGCAGGCTGGTCTGGATCCAAGCTGGTCGCAAACCCATTATGTTGGTTTTGTCATGGCGCGGCTCAAATGAACAATATCATAGGTTAACGTAGTAATAAGTAATAACAGATTCAAATTTTTGTTTTATCTTGCTATTTACGACCAGAACATTTTAGAAAAGTATAATTGATATATATACCAGTCATAATTATTTCATGAAACAATCCTCAACTTAACAACAACAAACAAACAAAACAAACCTTTTTGTTAACCTGTTCAAGTTTTAAATTTGTCATTTTCTCTTTTGTAGGAATTAAATTCTGAGTGCAATTTTCATTGTTTTTGTCGGATTTCAAGTCACACCGGTATCATACATGTATTATCGGGGCTTTAGCCATTTGTTATTAATACGACATTAACTATAACATTGAAACATTATTTACAAATCAATCAATCGATCGATCGACAACCCTGCACAAAAAAGAAAAGAAAAAAATAAGCCGCTTGTAAATAAATTGATTGAGTTTATATGGAATTTGCGCTTGTTAACTAAAATATTTCAGACATATTCATGTATCACTTTATTATGTGCCTCCAGCCGACCCATACGACATGAATCACTTGATGCTTGTCAGTAGAGTGGGCAGTTAAAGATAACACATGAGGATATTCCGTTACGATTCCACAATCAAATAATCAAAATGTAATTTCACTGTATTCGAATTATTAAACTTGCCAGCGGATGAGTAGCAAAATAATCCTCTTGGATGCTAATTTGAATTCTTCGGACCGCACTGTATTCTTACAATACAAATAATTCACAACATAATTATCATTATGGAACATTACTTACACAGAACATCCAATAGAACATCCATAGAAATAATCGCAATTCCTCGACCATTTCCGTCAAACTTCGTACACGGACCCTTAACATAAACAGAAGGGTTACGGCATTTTGGTCTCACATACGCTACGTAACTAAATACTTGTATGTAAACAAATAGTAAGTATGCTTGATGTTGACTAAGTTTTTTAATTAGTTACAATTAAATAAATTTAAAGATATAAAAGTAAACTGTGTTTTAAAATTGATTCTGATTGTCAGTCATGAATTTACCGAAAAAATTATTTTTCTTTGGATGCAAAAAATATACATTCGTTATAAATTATATTGTTTGGCAACATTGACCTTAGATATCTAAATATTCAGTTTCGCCGGTAATAACCGGGTTCCGAAGTATCGGATCAGCCATGATCCAGAGTAAAAACTACCAACACAACAACCCAAGTACCCAAGTAGCCAATGCAGACCAGGATCAGCCAGCACATCCAGATTTATTGACTTCTATGATTCCATGTTTTCAAATACTGAACTAAAATTTTACATGTCACACATTTCTTAAAATTACTTTCCTCTTAAATCACAATGAAAACCCGAGTTAAAGTCGTGTTAGACCAAATGGATTTACTTTCTTTTTCTTTCTTTTTTTTCTTATTGTAAATTATGCATTGCAATGCAAATTTTTAATATTAAATATCATTATAACAAAATATGAATAATACAGAATTTGAAAGCAGGAAGTTAATATCACAGGTATTAATTTACATTTTTCTATTACCGGTAATTATATAGTAATTTTACCCTTTTATTGTAGTAATGAATAGCAGTATCATTTTATATAATATTATAAAACTTCCCGATCTCAACTTTCCTTTGTACTGTATCCTCTCTAATTCAAGAACCCAAACCATAACTTTCACCACTTCAATTCAGGAACCATACTTGTACCCCATTAATTAGAACCATATAATTTACCCATCTTATTAAAGAACCATATCTGTATACCCCAATAATTAATGATCTTTAGCCCCTCTTAGTTTAGGAACCATACTTGTACCCCATTCATATAATTCAAGAACCATACATGACCCCTTCTCATTTATTTTACTTTTTTTTTAATTATTTGGATTTTTTTGGTTAAAAAAAAAGCAGCTCGGTCATTATTAATTATTAATCTATAAGGTAAGATTTTTTTCTACTAAATGTGGTGGGTCGTGCTAATTACAGGGGATGTTAACTATAGAAACAATATAGTATTTCATTAGATTTACTAGTGCAGGAAGTACTCAGGCGCCCCTCTGAACAGTCATAGACAGGCACCTTAACTGAACTACAGTGCAACTTCTTAAAACCGAACACATGTGAGACTTGTCATTTGGAAGTGTCCAGAATTCAGAAGTTCGGACGTATCTGAACAAGTAGAAACATTAGGTTAACATTGAACATCAATTGTTTAAGAAAAGATGAAAAATATTGGAAGCTTATCAAATTCATAAAATGGCAAAACTATAGGACTTTTAAAAAGTTATAACTACAGTGTATATTAAATTTTATTATCACCTATAACTGAATTTGTTGATACAAAAGCAAAATTTCACGTCGTATCTGAAATAATTTCTTTTTTAAATACATTGTATCTCCTTACATGAAATAATTTCTTTTCCTCTATAATCTCCTTAAATGAAATAATTTCTTTTTTTTATCTCCTTACATGAAATTATTTCTTTTTCTCTCTTATCTCCTCACATGAAATTATGAAATTTTTTTTTTTATCTCCTTACATGAAATTATTTCTTTTTCTCTCTTATCTCCTTACATTAAATAATTTCTTTTTTTTATCTATCTCCTTACATGATATAATTTCTTTTTCTCTCTATTTCCTTACATGAAATAATTTCTTTTTCTCTCTATCTCATATAAGGTGGTTACGAGAACGAACAGCAATACATGTATTATTTTATGATAAAATTAAATAATAAAATTAAGTAAAGTATGATATGGGCTGGCTTTAGAGTGTGTATGGTATATAGAGTTTAGAGACAATTACCTGTACCGTGAACACAATGTATCTATTCAGTAAAAAAATTCAGATTGTTTGGTAAACACCAGGGTCAAATTTAAACTCCAATATAATAGTTTATAATCGGATGTTATTCTTGTTGGTTATATAAGCGGACATTGTAATTTCAAACTTTATTGAAAAATGAAATTTCTTCTATTTATACTGGTTATCATTGATAACTTGAATGTGGTTCTTGCAAACAATGATAATTGCGGATTAAATGATCTGAATGCGTTAATGGTACGTCTGCGTCAACTTCGAACAGACTTTAACGCCTTGAAAACCCAGCACACTGAACAGATAGCAGTTCTCAAGGAAGAGATCAATAATAAATCTTTAGAAATAAAACTTATCAACGAAGAAAACAGAAAACAAGAAGCAGAACTTGAAGAACTAAGACAAGATGTCAACAATACATTATTAGAAATAGCGGAAATATCTAAAGATATAGAAATGATCAAAGGTATTCTATTAAAACATTTATTCTAAAATGATGATAGTGCTTAAAGGGGACTCGGCACTGGGGTATTTTTTAACATGGAGGGGTCAGAACTTTTTCTTCAAAATATTTATTTATACCATTTGATGTAGGTCTATACCAATACTATGTACAAAATTTCAGAACATTTTTTCACTAACTTTTTCCAAAGTTATCATTTTTACTGAGCAAAATGACTTAACAAGAGCTGTCACAGGAGACAGCGAAACTCGACTAATAAAATACTGGACGCAGTAAGGAAGACAAAACTATGAAAGAAAAATTAATTATGTATAATAATGTTTTAAGTTATAGTAAAAAAATAACATTGTCAACATAATTTCCAAGATCAAGGGGAATAATTCTAGAAATAGTCACGCTAGAGTTATGAACCTTGTCACACAATATGTGTGTAATGATAAGAAATATATATTTGAAGTTTGAAGTAGATACCTTAAAAAGTAAAGAAGTTATAATATTTCGTAAAGAAAATCCTAAGTTCAAAAAGAGATGAATCTGTAAATATTGATTCAAGAGTTATGAACATTGTCACATAAAATGTAATTGATGATAATGAATAAGTATTTGAAGTTTGAGGTAGATACCTTTAAAACTAAAAAGTAATAGTAAAAAATAACATTTTTCTAGTAAAAAAATCTAAGTTTATGGGGAGATAGTTCTTGCAATATTGGTGCTAGAGTTATGAACCTTGTCACATAATATGTGGATGATGTTAAGGTACATATATTTGTAGTATGAAATTGATCCCTTAAGAAATAAAGAAGTAACAGTAAAAAATAGTATTTTTAAGGAAAATTCTAAGTTCAAGGGGAGATTAATTTGAAAATATAGGTGGTAGAGTTATGAACCTTGTCACATAAGACGTGGTTGATGATAAGGTACATATATTTGAAGTTTGAAGTTGATACCTTAAGAAATGACAAAGTTATAGTGAGGGCGACTAGGACAGCTCTCCATATACTTCGTATAGTCGAGCTAAAAATGAAAATTAAAACTCAAATTTGGCTTAAAAAGCTCTTTAAATCAATTTTCTGTTTAATTTTGAGTATATTTCTTCAAAATTATATTTCCACTTCATAATTATATTTTCACACTTGTGCCAAGTTATTTCATTTTATTTAGTAGTTTAAAAGTTATGGAGGGGACACAAAAGTGTTATGGGAGACAGATGAACATTCTAACGAGACAATGTAACAAGCAAATTCGTTAAATTTATATCCCCACACTGGATATTACTAACACAACAACTGGAGGCTTTATTAAATAAATTTTCCATGGCATACAAATTTACTTATCATATTTATGGTTCCCATTAAGTATTATTGAAATTAATCTAGCAGTTGAAAAGAAATAGCAATACTGGTTTATATACATACTGCACAACTAATCAAGGGCCATAACTCTGTCTAAAAGGGTCTGACCAGAACAAGGCAATGATATGTGTATCTCCCCTTGGTATTGATGGATCCCATAAAGTTTCATTGAATTCCAGCCAGTAGTTGCAAACGATTATTGCTCTATATGCAGCACTGCATAACAAATCAAGGGCCATTACTCTGTGTTGAAGGGTCTGACCAGAACAAAGCAACCATATGCACAGCTCTTTAGTATTGATGGTTCCCATGATATGCATACTACACAACTAATCAAGGTCCATAACATTTGTCTTGAAGGGTCTGACCAGAACAAGACAATGATTTGGATTCCAGTCACTTAAAGATGCTGAGAAATAGCACTGAAATGATTAATGATATACATGCATAATGTAAACCTAATCAAGGGCCATAACTCTGTCTTGAAGGGTCTGAACAAAACAAAATGACAATATGCGCATCTCCTCTTAGTATTGATTGTTCTCATAAAGTTTAGTTGAATTCTAGCCAAACTTTGCAGAAAAATGGCGCGAAAACAATTATTGCTCCTTATGCATACTGCATAACAAATCAAGGGCCATTACTCTAAGTTAAAGGGTCTGACTGGAACAATGGGATGATATGCGCATCTCCTCTTGGTATTGATGGTTTTCAGAAAATCTTATTGAATTCAAGCCAGTAAGTTGCAGAGAAATAGCACAAAAACAATTATTGTTTGATATGCATACTACATAACTTATCAAGTGACATAACTCTGTGTTGATAGGTCTCACCTGAACAAGGCGAATGATGTGCGCATCTCCTCTTGGTATTGATGGTTCCCATAAAGGTTTTTGGAATTCCAATCAGAAGTTGCAGGGAAGTAACGAAGAAACAATTATTGCTCTATATGTATATTGCATAACTTATCAAGGGCCATAAGTTTAAGGGTCTGACCCGAACAAGGTGACGATATGCACATCTCCTCTTGATATTGATGGTTTCCATAAAGTGTTATTGAATTTCAACCAGTAGTTGCAGAGAACTAGCGCGAAAACGAAATTCGAACATTCTTACCAGAGCTACATTATGGGGTTTTCTTTTGTTATTTCTTTTGTTCTTTTTAACTCCACAATGCAGATAATAACCCCACAAGAGAAACGGAATGAATGACATCAAAGACATCTATTGTTATGAGAACAATAGACCAAACCCCATAATGTAGCTCTGGTTTGTACGGACGGACGGATGGATGGACAAAGCCAAAACAATTGGCGACTGAAAGAGTGGCCTTTATTACATGTATTTCGGTGGTTTATAGAAATATATCAGTGATATAAAACTGGTAATTTCACTGTTTTGAATTTAAGCCCCCAACGTTATTTCAATGAAATACCAGCGTGCACAGTACTGGGAACCAAATTAATGACGTGACGTCGTAAATGACGTCACGTTGTATTATTATTTGGCGCGCTTTTAATTCAGTATTAGGTTTTACGTCTTTTTAAAAAGTTTCTATGCATATAATAAAAAGAAAATTTGTTTAGTTTAGTGTAAGATCGAAACTTATTTCACCTTGTGAACACCAAAAGTTCAACTTTCCATTTTAGTACTCATATGATATTGTATCTTTTTCTTCGGATTTTTTTAATCATGATATAGTTCTTCCTAATTCTAAGACAATCAAGTACCATATTCCACATGTTTTTGGTTTCCTTTAGATGTTTCTAAGGAGATAATTTTTGTATATTCATAGATATAGACGATTGCAGTCCAAACCAATGTCAGAACGGGGCAACGTGTGTTGATGGAGTTACTTCTTACACATGTTCATGTGAAGCTGGATACAACGGAACTTTATGTGAAATAGGTAAACATGTATATCGATAATAACATAATATATTTAATATTATTACCTTATTGGTTTATAATAATTTATTTTAGTTTTATTTTGTTGGAAGCTATAAGTTATTGAAACACTCTTGAATCTGTTCTTGAAACCAATGCCCGCTCGTTTGACCTAATCCTGCCCAGATAAGCCAGTTATATGATTTTAATTAACACTCAATACACTTTGATTGTTTAAAATGAAGCATTTAATTTTCTTCCCTTTTTTTCCATATGTAAAGATATAGATTCCTGTAGCCAGAACCCATGTCACAATGGAGCATACAGTTGCTGAGACATTACACTTCAAAGATCATCAAAAATATTTCCATGATTTTTTTTTCAAGATCATTCGTGAAAATGACGACCTGACTAGCGTATTGATGACGATTTTTAGTTTAGTTGATATCTTTAAATACAATAGCATACATATTACTTTATGATTTTTTATATTCTGTGAAACTGCTACTCATGTCATTTTACACTTAATTTAGCAGATAAAACGTAATTGAGACCATTTTTACGAGGTAAACGCCAAATTCGTGAATGAAGCACTGAAGCAACAGCAGTTATCTCATTAAAAGTAACTAAATCTTATTTTACCAGCTTCCTTCTATTGTAATACGACACTTGTAGTTTGACAAATGTCTTAGGTATACAAAGTATGAAAAAAAATGTTTTAAATGTGTTAAATTAACATATTTATTTGACGAAACACAAAATCACCTTCAAAATGGTAATCAGCTTGTCTTTCTCACGAATGATCTAAAGAAGTAAACATAGTCAGAAAAATTTAATAATGCTGGTTAAAGTATAATATCGTAGCGCCGTATGCGCTAATTCATTTTTTTAAATTTGATTTAGAATAAAATATTTTGGTTTGTTTACTTACTGTGTTATTCGTTTTTGCAATACCGTTGCACAGATTCGGTTTTACTTTTCCGTTATTTGCACATTCCTGCGTTACTGTTTTATGCACGGTGTATTAACCCCTTGGTGGATCAATGACAATTTTAGAACTGTAAACAAAGGGTGGTCAGGAAAATGTAAACAATGTCTACCCCACTTCTAATTTTTGTTTCAAAACGTTTTGTTTTTTGTTTTTTTGTTTTTCTTTTTCAAAATATAATTACACTCATTTATAAGTTATATTAAACAGATATTGACGAGTGCAATCCTAATCCATGTCAGACCGGGGCAACATGTACAGACGGCGTTGACTCTTATACGTGCACGTGTGTCGCCGGATATACAGGAACTAATTGTGAGACAAGTAATACAAGTTTTTAGATAAGTTTTACATATCTAGTTTTTATAGTCCAAACTAAAGCCTTCAGTGGGTTTTGAGAATCATGCTGTAACTTCAATCTATATAAAATAAATATTTAAGTAGAAAGCTAAAATGCTAATGTAACATAAAAAAATAGTAAAAAACTAGTGATTAATGTTTTAACACTTATAAACAAATACTAAAATTGGTATGAACAGAATCAACACACCCCTCCAAATGGGCATCCATGTCACCATATGGACCACAAGTGAAATATCTGGAAAATCATGGAATATGGTTATTATACATGTAAATAATTATTTGTTTAATTATCTGAAGGTATCGTCTCGTCTGACTGCATTTATAATAAATTTGGGGACTCAGTTCTAGGTTTGTTGTAAACATTAAATGTTTTTTCCCTCATATACTTTTTTCAAACATCAAATTATAACATAAAAAGTATGCTAGCAATTTGTTCATCTATTTTTAATCAACATTTATTACTTAAGTGCCTTAATTCATGTTGACATTTTAATATAATGCAAAACCAGAAAATTTCATCACTTGGCCTCTCATTAGATTGATATTTTTTCTTAAATAACACAAGATGTCCTGTTAAGTCATCATATTTAAACATTAACCTTTTTGTTCAAACTAGTCTTTTTTTTTTTAAAAAGCAACACATTTTGTTGGCCTGGTGTTTGTTACATTTTTGTGTTTTTATATTTGCATGTTTTCTTTGTTTCTTTTATTGATACTTTAAATGTTGAAAAGTGAATGCCTGTTTTAGGCTAGCACTAAGGAAAGCGAAATTTAAACACCTGTAAGGTATGCTTTGTTGATTTCTACTTAGACTATCTTTAAAATAAGTAACTTTTCATATAAAACGAATATTGAAAATCTACTATATTTGTATTCAGTATTGTAACATAATTAATGTAAATTTTACTGCCTATGCCTTAGAATATTATAATACATGTATCCTGTTATACATATTCTAATACTACCAGCAAAAAATGTCATTACAAATGCTGTTTTGTCTTTTTCTGTAAAACAACAAATGCGATTCAAGCCAATTTGAAATATTTCATTTGAAGAAATTATGTTTTACTGAAAATATAATTGAAATAATGTACGAAATTTATACAAGTACAAAACTCGCATTAATTTAGATTGCCACTTTGAAACACAAACAATTATGCTAACTTATTGACGTGTAGCATAAGAGCGAATCAAGAAATATTAATAAAAGTCCAAATTTACGCAATAATATATACCTAACCAGTGATTTTTTCACTGTATTTTACAGCTTCCCCTAGCAAAAAAATAGATATATTTCCCCCTAAAAATGCTAATATTTTCCCCTAAAATGCCTCGTGCTTTTCCTTACTAGAACCATGACTTATTTGCATCGGACTTCTATAGTTTTTATCAATTAGAAGACAGAAATCTGTCACTATAGATAGCCTCTGCGATGTACAATGCATATTAAATTAAATTGATTTTTTTTCATGAAATGTGTGGGTAAATCCGATTTTCAGTTGTTGGAATTTGATTTCAGGTTCCCCATTTTCTGATTAACGGCGCTATATTTCCCCCTTCAGAAAGCCACAGGTTGTTTTAAAAATTGGAAAATTATCACCGCTAAATATTAAAATAAATCTCCATTTACTGTAAACAACTAGTTTATTTCTTTAAAACAAGAGGGCCATGATGGCCCTTGATCACTCCCCTGACCCTTCAACCACAACCAAGCAATGTCTTAGACAAGCATCCTGGCCAAGTTTGATGCCAATTGAGTCAATAATGTGGCCTCTAGTGTGTTAAAAAGGTTTTTTCAATATTTGGGCAGTGTGACCTAGTTTTTGATCGGAGACGACCAACATTCAAACTAGAACCTAGAAGTCATCAAAAAAATCTTCCTGACCAATTTCCAGGAAATTTAGATCACAACTGCAGCCACTAGAGTGGTAACAAGCTTTTCTATATTTAGCTCCTGTGACATTGTTTTTAATCGGAGATGACCAATCTTCGAACTTGACCTAGAAATCATTAAAACAACCTTCCTCACAAATTTACAAAATAGTTGGGTCAAAACTGCAGGCACTAGAGTGTTAACAAGATTTTTCTATTTTTAGCTCCTACCTAGTTTTTGACCGGCAATGACCCATCTTCGAACTTGACCTAGAAATCATGAAAACAACCTTCCTCACAAATTTACAGAATATTTGAATCAAAACTGCAGCCACTAGAATCAAAACTGCAGCTGTTAGAGAATTGAAATGGAGTTATGGTTGTGGGCAAGTAAAGATAGTTGTGTTTTAATATGTTTCATTTCCTAACAATATGGTTGACCATTGATGAAGTTTTATTGAATTACTCTGTAATAAATCCAGAAAGAGTTACGCTTCTTGAGCACTGCACTTTCTCTCATTGCGCTTGACCATTGTATGAAGTTGCATTGAATTCTAAACATTAGTTTTAAGTTATGCACCGAACAAGGAAAAGAAACAAAGGACAATAATTCTACAATTACTGAAGATGGAGTTATGGTCCTTGTACACTGCACTTCCTCTCATTTCGCTTGACCTTTGTGTAGATATATTGAATTCCATTTGTAAGAAAACTACTAGTTTTCAAGTTATGCACTGGACAAAAAAGTAACAAAGGGCAATAACTGTAATGAATCAAAATAGAGTTATGCTTCTTCTGCACTGCACTTCATTTCACTGCCCTTGACAATTGTATGAAGTTTCAATGAATTCCAAACATTAAATTTCAAGTTATGCACTGGACATTACAAAGTAACAAAGGGCAAAAAACTTTTTAATGAGTCAAGAAAGAGTTATGGTTTCTGTACACTGCGCTTCCTCTCAATATACTTGACCATTGTATGAAATTGTATTGAATTTCAAATAGTACTTTTCACGTCATGCTCTGGACAAGAAAAAAGCAATGGAAAAGTAACAAAGGGCAGTAACTCAATAATTGCTCTAGACAAATTTATAAATATTGTGCACTGCACTTCCTCTTAATGTGCTTGATGATTGTATGAAGTTGTATTGAATTCCAACTAGTAGTTTTCAAGTTACGCTCCGGACAAGGAAAAGTAACAAAGGGCAATAACTCTGTTATAAGTCAAGATGGAGTTATGGTTCTTATGCACTGCACTTCCTCTCAATGTGCTTGATCATTGTATTAAGTTGTATTGAATTCCAATCATTAGTCTTCCAGTTATGCTCCGGATGGAAAAGTAACAAAGGACAATAACTCTGTTATTACTTTAAATAGAGTTATGGTTCTTCTGTTCTGCACTTCCACTAATTGTGCTTGACCATTGTTTGAAGTTGTTTTGAATTCCAACCAGTAGTTTTCAAGTAATGCTCCGGACAAGGAAAAGTTACAAAGGACAATAACTTTATAACGAGTCATGATGGAGTTATGGTTCTTGTGCACTGAACTTCCTCTCAATGTGTTTTACCATTGTATGAAGTTATATTCAATTCCAACCATTAGTCTTCAAGTTATGGTCCGGACAAAAGAAAGCAATGGAAAAGTAACAAAGGGCAAGAACTCTGAAATTACTTTAAATAAACTTATGATTCTTGTGCACTGCACTTTCCCTTATTGTGCTTGACCATTGTATGAAGTTGTTTTGAATTCCAACCAGTAGTTTTCAAGTTATGCTCCGGACAAGGAAAAGTAACAAAAGGCAATAACTCTATAATGAGTCATGATGGAGTTATGGTTTTTGTGCACTGAACTTCCTCTCAATGTGTTTGACCATTGTATGAAGTTATATTGAATTCCAACCATTAGTCTTCAAGTTATGGTCCGGACGAAAGAAAGCAATGGAAAAGTAACAAAGGGCAAGAACTCTGAAATTACTTTAGATAGAGTTATGATTCTTGTGCACTGAACTTTCCCTTATTGTACTTGACCATTGTATGAAGTTGTTTTGAATTCCAACCAGTAGTTTTCAAGTCATGCTCCGGACAAGGAAAAGTAACAAAGGACAATAACTTTGTAATTAGTGAAAATGGGGTTATGGTTCTTCTTCATTGCACTTTCTCTCAATGTGCTTGACCATTGTATGAAGTTATATTGAATTCCAACCATTAGTCTTCAAGTTATGTTCCGGACAAGGAAAATGCAACGGACGTGTGGACCGACCGACCGACCGACCAACCGACCACCGGTTGACTCCTATATAGTATAAGTATTAGTATAAAAAGTACTTGAAAACAATAAAGATACATGAAAATAGAAAATAATTACATGAAATCACATATAAAGTAAAATACAAAAGCAGAGAAATACAATAAACATAGTTCAGCGATTTTTCTCCTTCTGATTTTGGGTGAAATTACCCCACCCACCCACTTTAACTTACAAATCATGCGATTTCTTCCATTTTTTTTATTATAGCAACTTAAAACACTCATAGTATTTATGAAAAACAAAACAATATTATACAGTTAGTAGCTACTTGGAATATTTTTGTTATTTTTAGGTAACTGTATTTGAATAATGTGATAAAAGGCATTTTTCTTTGATATTTTGACAATTTTAGGACAAAAACCTGAAAAGCTATATATTTCATTGTTATCTCATTATAACTTTATTATTTCTGAAATGTTTGTACACCTTTTTATCGAAACAGCATAATCTGTAAAATTTACCATAATCAGATATAAATCCGTTTTGCATAAAATCGGCGGCCGTATTGGACGCCATCTTGAATTCTGAAACGTTGTGAAAGCAAAATTTTGTAAGATTTGGATTTTTGTAAAGGAAAGACTATATACTTGCTCTGGTATAGGACACAAATTTGATGAAATTGCCCTTGGCTCTTAGGCTAATTATCATGTGTTGTTTCTTTTTCTACTAGAATATTGCCCAGCCAATCGGTACTTGTTCCTAGGAAGCTGCTATTACAAAAGTACAAAAGCTCTCAAATGGCTTGAAGCTGAGGTAAGTATTACATCAGATAATAGACATTTTCATTTCCCAGCAGATACTTGAATATAGCCATCCGAATGCGGTTGAACAGTAAAATATCTTCGTTACTTTTTCATTTTGATTCGATTGCAATTTCTTCAAGACTTGGTTTCAAAATATATCTTCCTGAAAGACTTAGATATGCGCCTGCAGTGTTATAAACTACTATTATAATGCATAAGGCATAGTAGTATGTTGCATGATTTTCACCAACAATTGAATAATATGATTTTATCGTGTTATGGCTGGTCAATAACTTTAAATATGCTCTGATGTTTATTGATATGTTTTACAGGAAGACTGTATCGATTTGGGAGGACACCTGGTAGAGATCACAAGTGAGCAAGAGAATGACTTCATACAGTCGATTTTAAGCGTAGGAAAGAGATGTAATGATTACAATGTGTCTTGTTGTTTAACATGATAATTGCTTGAGCCAAACAAACAAGAGCAATCACCGATCACATGTGTCGCCTGTTGATAGCCAATTAAGCATTAAGCAGTTGTTTTGATTGGTGATTAACCAGTTTGTTTCCAATATATCGCAACTTTTGTGTAGCATGTTGTAACTTAACTGCGCAGTAGGAGACACACAAATCACTAACTGGCAAAAAAGCTTTTTTATTCAATGGGCCATAACTCAGCAAAAAGTCATTCAACTGAAAACCCCATCAAATATGCTCAGGGTCTTAAGGTATTTATCAATCCAAAATATTGTAAAGTTTGACTCAAATTGTATTACAATGAAGTAGTAATAAGACAGGAAGCACCGCAACTACCAAGTTTTGATGTGACAGAATTAATAGGTCAAAGTGCACTGAAGTAATTGAGTAGAAGCTGAAAATCTTATTGTAAGCAAATGACTTTGACCTTGCTCCCAGATATCTAAGTGGCAATTCAAAGCTGCCACACAGCAAGTTTGGTGTCAAAAGGCCAAAGCAAACTCAAGTTAATACGTAAAAACTGAATACATTAACCTTGATCACAGACACCTGGGTAGCAATCCTAAGCTGCCACTTGATATAACCTACCCATAAACCAAGTTTGGTGTCAATAGGCCAAAGCAAACTCAAATTATTGAGCTGAAACTGAATCTCTTTTAGTAACAGTGACCTTGACCTTGATGATAGACACCTGGATAGCAATCCCAAGCTGTCTTTTGATAAAAGCTATCCATTCACCAAGTTTGGTGACAATATGCCAAAGCAAACTTAACTAATTGAGCATAAACTGAAATTCTATCTTAAGAAATAGTTACCTTGACCTTGATCACAGACAATAAATCTAAATACTGGATAAATCCACAAGCGAAACCCCAGGTGCATAACTTCACATGCTGAGCAACATTCCTGTAGGGTTTCATGACTAGGTCAACTATTTTTTGAGTTATGTGCGACACAAGTTGAAAATTGCAAATTTTAACAAAGTCAAGGGCAATAACTCTAAAAATACTAAATAAATCCACATAAAAATACACAGGTGCACAAGTACACATGCTGAAAAGTTTCATGACTCTAGGTCAAATACATTTTGAGCTATATGCGACATAAAATGAAAAAGGAAGGACAGACGGGCAAGAGTAAATCTAAATGCCACCCCCCCCCAAAAAAAAGGGGGCACAAAACAAAAACAAAACAGCATCATCTTTGACCTTTGACGTAAAAGGTCGAGCTGAGTTAACTGATAAATGAATGAAAATCACTTTTTATATATAAGCGTCTAAAATGTAATAGTTGGATAAATGTGTTGAATTACCGATCAGATAAAATACCTTAAGGTAGATCATGGGTAATGGGCACTATAAGGAACTGTAAAATTGACAAAATATGACAGTTATGTGTCTTAATGTTCACTTATATTCAAAATTTAAATAAAATTTACCGTGTTGTTTATGAGTTCTGGATATATTTCTGAACTAAAACTTTGCTGTTAGAAGGGCTTTTTCAGAAATGAGGAAACTCCAAATAATCTATAATATCATTATTATGAAAAATCACTGCCCTAATTTTGAATTTCCTATTGCTCATTGTTAAGAAACAAATAATAACATTCAACAAATTACACAAGCATAATGATTGTTTCTAAACAAAATGTTTTCATATGTATAAAAATGTTACCCTACCCAACCTACTTGACCATTTCACTATATAAAAAGCCTTGTTTAAAATATCCCTAAAATTTACCACAATGAGGGATTGTTTTCAAAGTTTTCCTAAATGTTCTTAACAATATATTTGTTGATTATGCAAAATATAAAATACTTTTACAGTGTAGTTTTAATTTTATTTTCTGGCATTATAGTTGCTATTAAGTTTGGCATTATTTAGCAAATAATTACCTACAATAATTATATAATTAAAATCAAACACTTTTTTCTTCCATAAGGGATCTGAGATATACCCAAGTAATGTTAAAGAGAAAAAAGGAAATAAATAAATTGACCCTTCTGCGGTTTGATTCTTACCCACACCCCTTATTTTCATTGTACTTTACAAGTGATTCAAGCCTATTTGAGGAGGTAATGCATAACCCATGGTCTACCTTAAACTCATTTTTACAGTTTGGATTGGATTGAATGATAGAGTGACTGAATCTGACTTTGTCTGGGTATCAAGTGGAAGTAAGGCGTCTAGCGTGTACACGCATTGGTTTAGGGGAGAGCCAAATAACGTGAATGGTACTGAGGATTGTGTGGAGATATATACCACGGGAGATTGGAACGACAGGGATTGCTCAGAAGTCTCGCACTACATTTGTGAAAAGGCAAGCATGTGTATGTAATTTTTATTAATTTTAAATGTATTTAATCAATAATTAGGAAAATAAAAACAGTAGGGAATCTGATGCTTAAGTATTTAATAGCAATGTGTAACATTAAGATATCTAGCCTGCTAGCCATAATCAGAATTGATTGATTAACAGTTTCATGTAGATATCCAAGTGTTTAAACATCAAAACATCATTTTACATTAGTATGCATGTATAAGAAGGTAACCTGTAACATGAATATACTCGTATGTGAACACAAGTATTTGTCATATTTAAATAAATTATTCATTGGCACTTTGTGTGCAGTTGTTATTGATTGTAGCGTTTAGTTTTATCTTTTTTTTCTGCATCAGTTACAGTCCTATACTGATTGTTTGTAAAATTTCATGACTCATTTTGTATTTTATAGTTGCCTGAATAACGGCATCATTTACGGACTATAGAATAACGACAGATCCAGTAGTCAACTAAAACATGATACGTCTACAACTAAAACATGATACGTCTACATTCATTAAATAACAAACTAACAATGATAATATTGAATGAATGGGCAATACTACCGATCATGATAGTGGCTTGCTAACAATTTTGTCACAGCTGGCAACAAACGAGGAAGTGTATGTCCAAGTAAATTTCAAGGTGACGGTCTTATTGAAGGTTCTTCTAGTTATAACTTCTGGACAATGTTTACTGGTACTCTCATTGAACTCTTCTAGCTTCAGAGTCATAAAAGATCTTTACTTAAATGATATTCTTCTACAAAGTTGTACAGTCAAGTTGTTAAGAAACACAATCATTTCTAAAGCATTTTTAAAATAAAATTTGTTTTGTTATTTTTCAATTATCTTTTTTTTTTTAATTCAGCACTCATGACATTTATCTTCATTTTCTTTAAGATATATATTAAAGCAGCCTTCAGCTTTTCTAAAGGTTATAAATGTTATTTTTATATAAATTGTTTCATATAATTGTAAAATCAAAAGAATTTGGTGAAACATAAAATTTGCAGATGACAAAATACGCAATCAGTAAAAAAAAACCCTGGATTGATACCTCTAATGATACTTTATCTAACATTCCACTCTCTCTCTCTATATTTTTTTTTAAATTAGTAAAGCGGATGATTCGTTCCCCGATCTTCTATTTTTAGAAACAAACTTACTGACAATATATATATAAATAACTCTCGGGATGCTGTTTTAAAGAAAGCTTTGAAAACAATGATATGATGCACTTTAAAGGGAGAAAAAGGCAAAATTTTCATTTTTTCTTTTTGAATTTTTTATTAATTATTCTGTAAATGTCCTCTAAATGAATACATTCGGCAGTCACAGGAACAAATCTTATCTCATTATAAAGTATTAAATGATGGTTTTCTAACCTGACCCACTTTGGTCAGGTTAGTGCGTTAAAATTTCACAATAGTTGTCACGGTGACTTTGGAAACGTTAAAGAACATGTCACATGAATAACTTAAACTTGTTTCAATCATACAATATCCACAATATCTGTTATTGTAACCACCAGAGTTTGTTCAAATCACATTATTTGTTTTAAAATTACTCGGTGATTCTCTCGACTTCTGAATTTCGTTCATCATATTTAAATATATTTACGCTTCAAACCCAAAATATATAGAATTTATTACAGAAATTCATGCTGAAATTTTTTAGCGTGATTTGAGTTCATAAGATTATTCTAATATTTTTGTTATCTATTTGCCTAAGTATGCCTTTAATAGATAAAGTTACTGAAATACTTCGTTAGAAACAACATAGATTTTTTTTCCTACAGATAATCCCAATTTTCTCCATCAAATTCTTTATTTCATTCAAATATCATCCTTTGTATGAACATGTATTTTAAATATTTCCATGTATTAATCAGATATGTTCACAATAAAATATTATTCTATTACAAAAATCTTTTGTTATATCTTTTATCAGTTCTTACAAACTAATTAGCATTCTAATTACTTTTACTCTGTGTATTTAAAAGTTTACCCTTAGCCTCAAATTACTGGTAGACTGTGTATTTGTATTTTTGCCTTTAGCCTCAAATTACTAGTAGACTGTGTATTTGTATTTAACCCTTAGCCTTAAATTACTGGTAGACTGTGTATTTGTATTTTTGCCTTTAGCCTCAAATTACTGGTAGACTGTGTATTTGTATTTTTGCATTTAGCCTCAAATTACTGGTAGACTGTGTATTTGTATTTTTGCCTTTAGCCTTAAATTACTGGTAGACTGTGTATTTGTATTTTTGCCTTTAGCCTTAAATTACTGGTAGACTGTGTATTTGTATTTTTGCCTTTAGCCTCAAATTACTGGTAGACTGTGTATTTAAAAGTTTACCCTTAGCCTCAAATTACTGGTAGACTGTGTATTTGTATTTAACCCTTAGCCTTAAATTACTGGTAGACTGTGTATTTGTATTTTTGCCTTTAGCCTCAAATTACTGGTAGACTGTGTATTTGTATTTAACCCTTAGCCTTAAATTACTGGTAGACTGTGTATTTGTATTTTTGCCTTTAGCCTCAAATTACTGGTAGACTGTGTATTTGTATTTAACCCTTAGCCTTAAATATTTAACCCTTAGCCTTAAATTACTGGTAGACTGTGTATTTGTATTTTTGCCTTTAGCCTCAAATTACTGGTAGACTGTGTATTTGTATTTAACCCTTAGCCTTAAATTACTGGTAGACTGTGTATTTGTATTTAACCCTTAGCCTCAAATAACTGGTAGACTGTGTATTTGTGTTTAACCCTTAGCATCAAATTACTGGTAGACTGTGTATTGTATTTAACCCTTAGCCTCAAATTACTGGTAGACTGTGTATTTGTATTTAACCCTTAGCATCAAATTACTGGTAGACTGTGTATTTGTATTTAACCCTTAGCCTCAAATTACTGGTAGACTGTGTATTTGTATTTAACCCTTAGCCTCAAATTACTGGTAGACTGTGTATTTAAAAGTTTACCCTTAGCCTCAAATTACTGGTAGACTGTGTATTTGTATTTAACTCTTAGCCTTAAATTACTGGTAGACTGTGTATTTGTATTTAACTCTTAGCCTCAAATAACTTGTAGACTGTGTATTTAAAAGTTTACCCTTAGCCTCAAATTACTGGTAGACTGTGTATTTGTATTTAACCCTTAGCCTCAAATTACTGGTAGACTGTGTATTTGTATTTAACCCTTAGCCTCAAATTACTGGTAGACTGTGTATTTAAAAGTTTACCCTTAGCCTCAAATTACTGGTAGACTGTGTATTTGTATTTAACCCTTAGCCTCAAATTACTGGTAGACTGTGTATTTAAAAGTTTACCCTTAGCCTCAAATTACTGGTAGACTGTGTATTTGTATTTAATCCTTAGCCTTAAATTACTGGTAGACTGTGTATTTGTATTTTTGCCTTTAGCCTTAAATTACTGGTAGACTGTGTATTTGTATTTAATCCTTAGCCTCAAATAACTGGTAGACTGTGTATTTGTATTCATCTCTAAGCCTAAGATTACTAGTAGACTGTGCATTTGTCTCAAATTACTGATATACAGTGTATTTGTATTTAACCCTTAGCCTTAAATTACTGGTAGACTGTGTATTTGTATGTAATCTTTAGCCTTAAATTACTGGTAGACTGTGTATTTGTATGTAATCTTTAGCCTTAAATTACATGTGTATAGCTTCAAACTAATAGCACAACACTCGCTATTGACAAAGTGTGAGAATATCAGTTACAAACTCAAGATTGTAGGTTCGTATAACGGTGTAATATTTATATGGTTGGTTAAGGATTCGAACTTACAACAACGCGATTCCGTTGTACTTACCACTAGCCCATAAGCCGTAAACAAAAACTGTACTATCATTTAAAGCAACTTATTAAGGAATTTAACGAACAATCTTCCGATAATTAATCAATGTCAAGTCAATGATGCAACACAATACAAAAATTACACCTTCTGTTTACATCTAAAACCACGCAGTAGAATTTTCATTCATATTAAGTCCGAGATTATGATGAGTTATAGTCCGGGTGTTCCGATTGGTTAAGCTGCGCTAAATGTTGCGAAAACATAAAATTTGATATAAATAACATTATTTGAGTCGTTCTTTACTTTTGTCAAAAGTGATTATGAAAAAATATGTAATCTACGTTTCGTTGTGATCATTTTTTATTTATTTTTATTGCTTTTAAAAACTTGCTTTTATCAGGTAAAATCTTATCTTTAGTTATTCATTACTTACCGGAACTGTTAGGTCAATTTTTTAATCAGGCCCAAAATAGTGTGATGTTTGAGTCCAGCTCCGCACTATCCGAAATGTGTGTGGTTTAAAGTAAAGCATGATGCACGTATTATAAATGGCACTTCGTTAAAGAATAAATCATGTAAAAGTTTGCTCATGGAGTGAACAGTGTTTTTGTATATATTGGCTCATAGCAAAGTAATGTAAATGCACGCTCAAAAGGAAGAAAAGAAAAGTTAAGGAAAGAAGGTGTTCTTCTTTTGAATTGCACTCCTAGAAAGTTGTTTTTTTTTACTGAATATATAAAGTTGATTTTTTGTTACGTTTATTTAGTACCAATGTAAACAATGAAATATACTGGTACATGTATCTAAAGATGCGAAAATAAGCAAAACTTTTCTAATCATATTCGACTTAACGAGAAAAATATAAAAAAATGCTTAAGAGTTGAAATAAGTCAAATTATTTAGGCGATTTTACCTGTGTTTTAACAAAACATTTAATTAGAATAAACTAAATGAAACTAATAAAAAATGTACACGTGAACACAATCATGTAACATCAGTCAATATAATACAATGTACAATGTAATGCTGTACGCAGTTGACTTGTTTTTTTATTGATCATAAGTATCAGTCCATCTTTTCCAACTGGACTAATATTAAGTTACAGAATAAATGACTATTGCATTTTATTCATATACCAGGACCATGAAATGATTAACATCTTCGCTACACTTACCACTGCTGTTGCAATACATATGGTAGATATTAG